GAGGGAGGGATGAAAGTTAGAGAATATCACAGTATAAGCAGAGATAGGACTGATGGCTGTGGGCCAAACATGAGGACAGCCCTTGTGGGGAGAAGGAAAGAACTCACCCTAGAGCCTGCAGAAGTAGTGCAGCTCTGCCATTGCCTTGATCTTAGCCCCATAAAACCTATTTTGGACTTCTGACCTCCAGAATTGTAAGATAGTAATTTTGCATTGTTTTTAAATCGTTGATTTTTGTGGTGGTGGTTGTTGTTTTGTTGTTGTTGTTGTTGTTGTTTTTCTTCCTTTACCAGGAATCGAACTCACGACCTGTGCTTGCCAGGCAGGCGCTGTGCCGCTGAGCTAAATCCCCAGCCCCCTAAATTATTGAGTATATGGTAATTTGTTACAGCAAAAATGAGAAAGTAATATATTGTCATATCTCTGGCACCTAGAATTTTGCCTAGCAAAATATTTTTGTGTGAACAAATTTTTTGTGTGTGAAAAAGTACTGTTTTCACTATCTTAGATCTCCTATGGAGATTATTGAAGTTTCTAGTCTCTGTTCTCAATATTGTCATTGAAAATAAATGATAGATTCTTTCTTTAAAAAGTGACATTGCTTTTGTTTTAGGCAGAAGATGTGTGTGTGTGTGTGTGAGAGAGAGAGAAGGAGGGAGGGAAGGAGGGAGGGAGGGAAGGAGAAATATATCTGAGAATGTCAGCAGCAGAAGGGACAAAACGACATTCAGTTGAATTTCTTGATCTGATGTTTGTATTTTTCTGACACTCTCTCTGACAAGTGAGCATCCCAAGTCTATTGTAGAGTAGTCAATAGTGGGAAACTATTTTGGCCAGAAGCTTTAAGACCACTTTTGGATAGACTTTTCTGCCTTATTTGTCTGCTTTATTCTCCACTCACAGAATTAAACCACAGCTAAAAATATTAGTTGTAGACAAAAACTGACTTATTCTAACCAGTTATCAAAGATATATCTGAAGTTCAAACCACTGATTATCCTTACAAGTGAAATGCCTTTTACATTCACATTTGTCAGAAGAAGTCTTCGTGCCATCCCACTGGAAGCCATCCGGTATGCTTGCAGTGGCTAAAACTCAAGAAATGATTTGTATTTAGGTGATAGATGTGTGTATCGCTCTCTCACTGCCTCTGAGGAGGCATTCAGGATAGTAATTTTCAGGGAAGAATGGCACTAGCTTAACCTTAGGTTTATCCTGCTGTCCAAATACTGTCAAATTATTAATGCTTTTTGTGCATGGGTGGCTCGGGTGATGCAGTTCAGCTGAATTCAGTTCCACAGACATTGTGCCCTGTGTCTTGTGCTCTGTGCTAAGCCCCTGAGAAAAAAGTTGACCCTCAAAGGGCATCATAATGTCCTGGGAAGTACAGACAGGCTCTGTACGTCATAGGGGAGATAAGTACTCTATTGATGGCACAAAGTCGGGCAGGAGAGAAGTGACACAGTGATGATTCCAACGTGCCAGCCCCAGTGAGGGGTGCTTGAGAAGGGTAGAAAGAGGAGAGGAGGAAGGAATATATATATATTGGTACTGGGAATCGAACTCAGGACCTTGCACTTGCCAAGCAGGCACTTATGCCACTGAGCTATATTCCCGGTGGGAAATAAATATAATGTATGACTTTTCCTTAGTATATATTTGCTCGAGATGTATAATAAATATGTTCATAGTGAGAAAGGTACATTTACATGTTGCATCTTATCCTGTTTATTTCCCTTTCCCTTCCCTTCCACCCATTTCCCCATCTCTCTGTTTCCTATTATCTATCTTTATTTATTTTGTTTTTTGTTTAATGTAAGAGAAACTATATGATGTTTAACCTTTGCCTCTGGTGTTTTTTACTTAGCATTGTGGTCTCAAGGTACATCCACTTTCCTATAAATGACTCAAATTTATCCTTTAGAGGACTGGGAATGTACCTCAGTGGCACAGAGCCTTCCTGGCAAGCGCGAGGTCATGAGTTTGATTCCTGGTAGTGGAAAAAAAAAAAAAAAATTATCCTTTAGGCTGAGTAGTACTCCACTGTGTATACATGCCACATGTCCTTTACCTATTCGCCCATTCATATGCATATAGGCCAATTCCAAGATTTAGCTATGGTGCGTTGTGCTGCTATAAACATAGGTATGAGCGTATCACTGTCATATGATGTCTATAATTTGCAGATATCCAGAAAAGATAGAGCTGGGTCACTACCTTGGTTATAGAGAATTTGATTTCCATCTGTGAAAATAGTGGTAAAATGTGCATGTAAGTGGTTGACATTTTCAAAGATTTTCAAGGTCCTGCCAAGGACCAGACATGGTGCTGGCTCCAGAGGATCCCATGGTGGGAAGAGCAGGCCAGCTACAGTCTGCTGGAGAAAATACACAGTACACAAGCAGCAAATGGGTAAATGCAAACTCTGATCCGTCACAACAGATAACACCCGGATGCCATGCTAGCCTAGGGCCTGCTTCAGTAGCATAGCATAGCATTCCTTTTCTGAAAATGTAACAACGAAGTAAAATGTAGAGATGGACTCAGCTATGGTAACATAGCAAGAAAAGCTCACTGTAGGCAGAGCAGGAGTACTGAGAAAAGAAAAGCTTGCCCTTTGAGCAGGAACTGTTTATGTGGGCGTGAGGATGGTCGGTGGTGGGCATCTGCACCTTGACCTAGGTGAGTGCGGTGCTTGCCGGAGGTCCGGCGCGTCCTCCTTGACCGTGAGAAGGGATTCCCGATGAGTCCTCGGCGTCATGCGCACCGTGCACCGCTTTCATTCCGTGGGGCTGCAGACAGCAACAAGGGCCGAGAGTTGCTTTTCCCGTCCCCACCACTCAGAGCACGGGTGGGAGGTGGGTCGCATGGTCTCAGTATGACTATTGACTAGCATGAAAAATCATTCATGGTCACGTGTTCTTTCATCTGTGATAGCGGGAGGTTTTCTTCCGGACATTTCCCGTGTAATTTGGCTTTTCTTTGTGAGGTGAAGTTGCGTGATTGACAGTCATGTAATGGCTTGTATTGAGTGCGTGGAGTTCCGTGGGTGCTGTATACCCTGACAAGTCCTTCTCCTTCAGATATTTTAGGTTAATGCCCTGACACTGTCTGGCATATCCCAGCGTTGGGAAATTTAGGGGTATTCTGCATAGCTCCTCAAAGACCAGGACGACTTTCCAAGATAAATGTAATTGGTTAGATAAGAAAACAAAATTATGAAAAAATATAGAAGGTCAGAAGTCTCTGCAAGACAACAATAGATTAAGTTCCCAAACAGCTGGAGGCGGTGGAGTGCGCCCCAGGAGAGCGGCGTCTCGGCTGGCGTGCTCCCGGCTGTGTCCGCACGCTGGAGCGGTGGCCGGTGCGAGTGAGGGGCGGGGGAGTACCTGCACTTTGCTGAAGGGGAGCGGAGGTGCGGTTTGCACGTATTTGAAAATAAGCTTGGGCGGGGCTGGGGATTTAGCTGGGGCTGGGGATTTAGCTCAGCGGCAAAGCGCCTGCCTGGCAAGCGCAAGGTCGTGAGTTCGGTTCCCGGTACCAGAGAAAAACCAAAAAAAAAAAAAAAAAAAAAAAGAAAGAAAATAAGAAAATAAGGTTGGGCTAAGAGCAGTGGATTGGGGCTGGGGGTGTCGTTCAGTGGTGGAGCACTTGCCTAGCATGTACAAGACTCTAGGTTCTGTTCTCAGTTTATAAAATAATAATAGTTGACTTTGAGTTTGTTTTCATTACATTTAAACAAATGGTGATTTACTAAGACTGCACAGAAGGCAACCTGAAAGTTTTCATCTTCCTAAAAAATGGCAAAGAGGACTGTGGAAAACAGTGCCTTTGAACCCAAAGTTCAGTACATGGAATATTTTGACAGTGTTACGTAACCATCAACACTATTTTCAGAACCTTATCATCATCCAGACGGATACTTTGTACCCATTAAGCGATAACTCTCCACTATCCTCCTCCCGCTTCAGGCAGCCCCTGGAAACCTCTGCCCTAATCGCCATCTCCGTGAACTTAACCTGTGCTAGGTGCCTCATGTACAGAGATCATACAGCACTTGTTCTTTTATATCTGGTTTATTTCACTTAGCATAACGTTTTTAAGGTTTATCCATGCTGTTGTATGTACCATAATTCCACTCTTTATGGCTGGATAATATCCATTATATAAGTTTATGCACATTTTCTTTATACATTTATCTGTGGATACTTGGGTTGCTTTTATCTGGGCTATTGTGAGTTAAGGCTGGCTTGAATATTGGTGTACAAATATCTGTTTCAGTCTTTGCCCCCACCTCTTTTGGCGGAATTACTAGATCACATGGTAATTTTTTAATTAATTAAGTTTATTGGCACATTTTAGGAATACATAAGGATCACATTCATCATAGCAAATTTGTTCCAGCAGATGATATATCTTGGTTCTTCTCACCTTCTTTCAACCCTCCCTTCAACCCCTCTCCCCCTCCCTATTTGCAGTAGATTTGTTTCTACTTTTTTCCTTCTTTCCTCCTTTTTTTCTTTATCTTTCCTTCCTTTTGATTAATTTTTTTGAGGAACTACTAAGCTGTTTTCCAGGGCTCCTGTAGCACTTTTTACACTTCCACCAACATGCACTGCATTGAGAGTTTCAGTTTCACCACATTTTCACCAAAACTGGTTATTATCTACTTTGTGGATAAGAGTTATTTTGATGGATGTGAGTGTTTGTTTTTAAATTAAGAATTAAACTATGTCTAACAATCTCTTCAGTGGTAGAACACGTGACTCCTCAGGTAGATCTATGCAAAGTATATTTCAATGAAAAGGAAAATTGTAGATTTTCTCAGTTCACTGCTAGTTGTGTTCACTTATATTTTTAGTTTCCATAACTTACTATAGTTGAAAATAAATAAGTGCAAGTGTGGAATTTTTAGATGCAGAATATTTAAAACTTTTACATACATATCATTTTAAAGTTTGGAAAACATGAGTCTTCCTATCTTTTCTATGACATTAAAGACAACAGAAACCACTGTTAGAACCATGCCAGTCAGGGGTGAAGAGATCTGTGGATTCTTCTTGAACCCTTCCTTAACATCACCAGAATGTTCACCAGCAACTGTGAAAAAGAAAACAGAAGACATGAGCGACCTGCCCTCTGAGAGTCCAAGAAGTGTCCCACTCGCTGTGACAGACGCCTTGGAGCATATTATGGAACAGCTGCATGTTTTGACACAGGTGGGTTGGCACCTTTGCCTGGGGATAAGACATACAAAACAGTCCTGGTTTAGCAGGTTGCAAAGCGAACGGATGCGGGGAGTTTTTCTTTGCCAGCTGGCAGTCCTAGAACAAGGCGTGCTGGGCTGAGCTGCTCTAAGCTAGATCCTGTGGAGAGCCTCAGAGACCACGCATGTGCATGCATGTGTGGGTTGCATGCTCACACATGTGCACACATACTGTTCCGACTCCAGCCCCTGGGGCCCAGAGAGGCAATGTGGGCCATGAAGAACAGTAGTGGAACTTAATGCTATAAATACAGTACTTAGTTCCAGGCGGTGATGTTTTGCTATTAGAATTTGTGATGTAGTATGTTCAGATTAGGCCACGCATAAAGAAATATTTGGAGCCATAAGAAAAGTGTATTAAAGGTAAACACTTCGGGTTAGTGTGAGATATTGGCAGTGTTAAGTTTGTTAAGTTTTTCACTATTCCAAAAAGATTCTGATGGATCAGTATATAATTTCTCTCATTCCAAAGCTTCTTATGTTGGTACAGTTTTTTCCTGGGGTGATGGTTTTGTGTTCTACTTTTAGACACTTAACCAATCCTTTGAAACCAATTTACTTTGCAGAGAAAGAATGTAGAGCATCTCAAATAATGTACCGAAAGCTTCTGACTCTTGGTCAGGAGATACAGATGTGATATAAGGAAAGCTGTATGTTAAAATGGATACAAAACAGCTTTCTCTTCCAGCTCAGCTGGCTCCGTGTCCTTTGGAGTCTTCTGTTGATCCACTTTGTAACATTTGGCAGAGCAGACATTTTCAAAGTTGTACATAAGAGAGACTCCTGTGTAAACTAGAGAGATGGCAGTTACTCGTCCGGAAGAGGTATTTGCCACTCAGTCCTCAACGCTGGCTATGCATGGTATGATTAGGGCTGCTGAAAAGCATGTCTCTGCCAGGTCTCACCTCAGAGGGCGATTTCCATTGGTGTGAGGTAAGCCTCTGGCGTCAGTCATTGAATCGTGCTGTGTGACTCTGTTTCACATCCACTGTCGTGGACCACTAATTAAATGACTCTTTTTGTCCTATACATATCATCTTAAGATTTTTAAAGTCAAGAGATCCGTTTATGGTTTTGGTCTGACAGACGATAAAGAAGACCCATGTGAGAATTTAGAGTTGTTGTATGATTTGCTCAGAGAGAAACCTTTACAAAGTCACCCATTTTCACTTTGTGTTTTGTGCTAGAGGAGACCTTAGGGGCCGCTGCCCTCTCAGCTCATACCCAGTTTAGTTTGAGCTGGCTTTTTCCCACGTGGCCACAACACCCTTATCTCCTTCACACGTCCGCACCCGTCCGCGCCCGTCCGTACTGGGCTCGCTCCCAAATGACTTGCCATTCCCTTCTCCCCAGTTTCATGACCCATCCCTCCTTTTACCTGACCTGAGGTTAAATGATTCATTTTAAGCTTCATTACGTTTCCGTGGTTTTTCATTTTTAATTTCGAAGGACTGGATTATCTTACATATGAAGGGGTTCGAGCAGGCCCAACACACTTGCCAGAAAGGAGCAGTGGATCTGTGGGCGAGTAGCGAATAACATAAATATGTTCTGATTCATTTTCATTACCGATGACTTAACGCCATGTAAATTGCAGGATGTTTATGACTATTGATGCTCAATTGTAAGTAGAAATAAATTTCAATGAAATTGTATTTTAGATGATAGATAAGTGGAGTTAACCAGAGTTAACAATGTATCATCAGCTTTAGTGTGTAGAACTGGAATAATATATATAATATACCTGGCAAATTGCTAAGCACATAGTAGATCCTTAAGAAATGGTAGCAAGTATTATCTGCATCACTATTATTTTTAATTAGTCATGATATAGTCTATGCAATATAAAAGCAAAAGCTTTCAAATAATGGTAAACTGCTTCCTGATACACTCGTTACCTTCAGAATATGGAGGGGAAATCATTTCATTGTCTTGAAACTTGTTGACTAATATAATTAAACACTTATCTGGGCTTTCCTATGTGAACTCTGACACTTGGTAACCAAGGAATACGTAAGAGAACTGTCTCTTATTTGTCAATTCTATTAATAAATTTTTAATGATAGACTCATATTGTCATTTATATTCCCCAATAATTAATAGACATAGGCACTGAGTCATTAACATACTAAAAGGAAAATGACCAAACATTATTAACATTCCCGGAAATGAAAAACAGACTATCACCTAGAACAGTGGTGGCGAACCTATGGCACGTGTGCCACGGCGGGCTGTTTGTGTCATTGAAAGCTCTAGAAGGTTCAGCATCACTGACCTATAGTCTTACCGAGGAATCTAAGCTGACCAAGCCTTTGGACCCAGCTGCCACTTTACAAAATGTACAGAGAATGGCTGAATTCCACTATTAGTATGCTATCCCCAAAGTCCAGACCAGTAGAAACTTTACAGGGCAGATGGCCGGAGTCTTCAACAGACAGGCAGTCAGGAAAAGAAAGACAAGGCTGGGAGTGTAGCTCAGGGGTGCAGCACCTGTGTAGCATGCACAAGGCTCTGGTTGCAATCCAGCACCACAACCAAAAAAACAAAAAGAAAAAGAAGAAAGGAAAGAAGGTGAAGGCAAAAAACAAAAGGGAGGGAAGGAGGGAAATATTAAAAAACAGATTTAAAAATATATCAGGTCTTGAAAATGGAAGAGAAATTATCGTGTCTAGCAGTGTGGATGTGAGAAGTAAAACCATACGGAAATGCTAGAAAGTCCTAAAAGTCAGGGTGGAGGTGAGGCAGGGAGGGTGACTGTAGGAGACACATGGAAGGACTCTGGCGCATCTCGCAAGGTTGTAGTTACTGGGTGTTACCTTTGTTATCTAGAATGTCGCCCCAAATCACATCATGTGTGTGGGTTTTTTTGGTACCAGGAATCGAACTCATGACCTCAGGCTTGCCAGGCAAGCACTTATGCCACTGAGCTATATCCCCAACCCTGCAAATCTCATTGTGTTGAAGCCTTGATTGCCCGCTGATGGGCTGGCATAACTGGTCGTGAGGGTTCTGACTTAATTAGTGGGCTCACTGTTGACGGATGAGGTCATAGTTGGATGGCGTTGTTGAGAGGGGATGGAAACAGGAGAAAGGAGTGACTCTGGCTTTCTCACCGGGCTGCTCAAGGGGAGCAGCTTTCCTCTGCCCCTGCCTTGCGGGGAGCTGTACTGCCCGGCCTCGGGCCTAAACGCGCTGAGTCAGCTGACTGTGGCTTGACACCTCGGTGACTGTGAGCCTAAAGTAATCTTTCCTCCTTCAGGTTGGTTGTTTTCAGGTGTTTTGTCACAGTGATGCAAAGTTGACATTGGGTGATAGTTGTATGTGTTTTTCTTAAGAGAATTCATTAAGTAACGCATGTATTTTGTGTGGCTTCCTGAATAATGTATGCTTCACTTTATAATAAGATTTTTTTAAAAAAATAATAAAAAGATATAAAAGACAGAAGGCAATGCAGTCAATATAAAAAATGGATTTCCCAAATTTGATGTGCATGTGTGTGTATATACTCTCAGTGAGCCCATGCAGTCATACACAAGCAGAGCTAGAAGCCACGCTCCACCGAGTCCTGCATCCCAGCACCAGCGTAAGTGCTGCACGTGCATTGCGTGGTTCAGTCTCCCTGAGATCCTCTTGAGCTGCTGTTACCGTCTTCTGGGTGAGGGAGCTAATGACAATCAGTTATCCGTCCGGCTGCGGTGGCTCAGGTACTGCTGCTCCGTGGATTGGATTGTGACAGAATGACCAGCGGTGGCGTTTCAGTAGCACCCGGCCCAGGCCTGTAGAATCTTGCACACTCTGCCACTCTGCACATCACCTGTGGCGCTGCTCAGAAAGCCGTGTGTGGTCTCTTCCCTGGCCTGAGGGCCTCAGATCAGGCCCAAGAACCGTCTTTCTGCGGAGGCCTGATCTCTTCTTTCTTTTTCCTCCTGTGTGTCAATTTTTTTGTTTTCCTCAATGTGCTCGATGGTGCTTTGTCCTGTGGTAGAGCCCAGCAAAAAAAGCAAGTTTGGGGGTTTTGTTTCTGAGCCTACTCTTTGGCAGGAGGTTGCCGTCCCAGTTCTAGAAGGGTCACCTGTGCAGAGAGCTTTACGTCCGCCCCCCACCCCCGGGTTCCCGGGCATTGATTCTTTTGTCCTCCTTTGTGCAGACTGTTTCCATTTTGGAGCAGCGACTGACTTTAACAGAGGATAAGCTGAAAGACTGCCTTGAAAACCAGCGAAAGCTTTTCAGTGCCATCCAGCAGAGGAGCTGAACGGGGAGGTGTGAGCAGAGGCCCAGCAAGTGAGCACAGAAACGCGTCCTCAGGAAGGGAGCGCAGGCCGCTCCCTCCCGCCACCTGCACCCCGCCCTGACATTCCTCCCTGGGCAAGCATCAGATCCAGAGGCCGAAGAGCCACACTTAAGGACAATTTCAACACGTGAATCAATGTCAGTGACTCATTTAAATCCCCAGTTATGACAGCAGTAATAAACTGATAAGCATTCAAGTGTCTCTGCATTTCCCCCCATATTATTTTAAATGTCAGTTTTCTTTAGAGTCCAAACCCTGCCAGGAAAGTAACCAAATCTCTGTATTTCCTTGTCTAATCATTGAGATGTACATGCTCAGGCAATTTCTTAATTAGTGCATTTCTTTAGTGAACACGCTTTTGGAGTGAAATGATTCACTTGGTTCTAAAACAGCACCCTAAATGTAGAGAATGAGTTATTGATCTAACTCGTATTTCTTTCAGCTCAAAAAAAAAAGAAAAAGTATCCTCTTACTAATGCTTAGCAAAGATGATCTAATAAAAATTTCCAGGACACAGGATTTCCACAGCAGAAATACACTTATTTTAATTAGCAACAAACACATACAGGGCATAGGGCAATGTGCTTTTATTCAGTTTATGTCCGCATTGTTCATCCAGTGGCCAGCCGGAGGGAAAATGAAGTCAGAAGCACATGTAGCCCATGTGTCTTTGCATCACAGATGCATGCACAGAACGATTTGGGTCATCCTGAACCGATGGTCACAGCCCGAAAAGATTATGGTAGTGTGATTTCAGATTATGTGAGTGTGATATACACGTGTGTATATTTTTAAATATAACTGTTGCACTATTCTGGCTTTGTGAATACATGCACTTCAGAAATATTGTTGTGTGGGTTGATTTTGGCCACTGAATAACCAGTGCTTTAAAAAAAAACCCAAACATATTTGCATCATCATATTTGCATCATTTTTAATGAATTATGATTTGAAACAAAATGAAAATGAGGCAGGCCTTCTAAAAGATCTTAGTTACAAATTAAGGCTTTTGTTTTATCTTAAACAAAATTGAGATAAAAGTCTAAAAAGCAGGGAAATTAATTGTTGCTTGCTTTTCCATTGAACTGTATCAAGAATGAAGGTGAGAGAAGCTAGATTTGAATGCTCTATTTTAGAAAACAAAAAAAAGGAGAGTCCTTTTTATGTGGGATTCAGTATTTAGAAACTTTTCCCAAAGCAATTTCAATTGTACCTATGAGTTGCTTTTTTTATCATCATACTGTATATTGTAAGTACATTTTATATCATATTAAATGTGATCTTCTAAGTCTTTTCAAGAGTTTGCAAAGACTAAGTGACATTATATTTTTAAAACTTCATCAAGAAGAAATGTCATGCCAACTTTTGTTTACTCTTTTTTATATTTCCAACAATAAAGACATTTTTCCTTTAAAAACAAAAGTAATTCCTTTTCTTTTAAGTGTTTAAAACTTGGAAACACTGAACTGCTTACCAGCTGGCTCGCTCAGTCTCGGGGTGCTTAACAATCTCCGGGCCTTATCTGCAGCGTGTGACTCACCGCGCAGGGCGGGTGCCGGTGAGTCACATTTCTCATAGGCTCATAGGTGGTGTTGATGCTCCTGGCCCGAGGCCCACACTTTAGCTTCAGCCACTTCTTACAACGTGATGTTGCCACACACCTCCACAGCCCTCACAGGACTGTACGAGCGATGTAAGGTAGTGGTGATACAAACACAAGGGTTATTTTATAATTTTCCTTTTTCTTTTTACTTTTGAGCAGTCTCGTTGGTTTCATCAGATCCCAGCCCCTCTTGAATATCCAACTTCCTGATCTCCTGATTGATGTCTTAAACAGGCTTCTGCAACCACAGCTCGAGTCAGTTCTGCTGCTCCCCACCCCCTGCAACCACCAGCGCCTCCAGCAGCTCCTCCCTTAGTCTCCTTCATCTCTTCCCTTCCGTTTTCTCAAGCTGAATGCTTGGCGTGATCTTGTTTTTGTTTTTATTTTGAGCCAGGGTCTCACTGTGTAGTTCAGACTGGCTTTGAACTCACTATGTAGCCCAGGCTGGCCTGCAGCTCACAGTGATCCCCTGCCTCAGCCTCCCAAGTGCTGGGGTTACAGGCGTGTGCCACCACGCCCTGCACTTGGCGTGATCTCCACTCCCCTTTCACACCCACAGGTCATTCCTTCAGCAAATCATTCCAGGATAGAAGAAACCCTGCGTCACTTTTCACCACTCCCGCCCCAGCATGGCCCAGGCCACCGCCACCTCTTGCCCGTGCTCCCCAGCTGGTCTTCCTCGGCCAGCCTGGCACGGCAGCTGGACTGTGCCTGAGGAGCAAGGCTCAAGCGTGTGGTTCTGCGGCTGGAACCCTCCAGGCCTCTCACCTCCCTCCGAGCAAAAGCTCGAATCTTAACTACGTGCTGTGTCTCCCCACCCCAACACCCCTCTTAGACATTCCCAGGGGTCACCCTCACGCACTGCCCTCCAGCCTTAGGGGCCTCCCATCTCCCTCTGCGTGGAGCTCTGCCCTCAGACACCCTCAAAACCCGCAGCAATCCCTGTACATATTGGTGAGGTACAGAGCGACAATTCAGTACGTGCGTATGGTGTGTCATGCTCACATCGGGGGAGTTAGCGTTTCCCTCACCCTATGATTTTTTTGAGCAGACAGCAGTTTGAGAATCGGGCAGTGCAAAACTGCTAGCCCTCTGCTTCACCACGGAGCACAAGGGAAACTTTTATAAGGTGTGTGAGGAAGCAAGACAGAAAATATCTGATAGTTAAAGTACAACAGTAGCCATAAAGTGCTTAGAACCTGAAAGAGTAGCAAAACCCCAAAAATAAAGAAATTGCTCAAAGGAAGGAACAACTAGGATGAGGGAAAGGAGAGAGAGAGAGAGGAGAAAGGAGAGAGAGAGAGAGAGAGACAGAGAGAGAGAGAGAAAGGAAAAAAAAGAAAAGAAAAAAACTATGGCAATAGCTGGGATACACGTACTGCTGATGTCTGTTGGTTTATTGAAAGGAACAGTTAATGCTTAAATTTTTTTTATACATTTTGACCAATTTTGTATGCTTTTATCTGGTGATCTGAGCAACTTATGTGAGGACAACAATATGCAATATAACAACCATTGGTGAATTCCTACCATCCTGTCTAGTGAAACTCTGTATTGTCTTCCTATATTCTTTTAGATTATTATTTTCTTATTCCCTTTAATGGTTTGACCAATCTTCCATTCTTACATCTGATAATCTGAGCAACTTTGTTGATGATACCAATATGTAATATAACAACCACTGTTAATCCCTATCATTTGGTTTGAAGCCCCGTGTCATTTTTAATGTTCTTGCTTTCTTTTGTTTTTTGGGTTTTTTTTTTTTTCTGGTACCGGGAATCAAACTCAGGACCTTGAACTTGCCAGGCAGGCACTTGTGCCACTGAGCTATATCCCCAGCCCTGCTTTGTTTTGTTTGTGTATGGCTATTGTTCTTTTTATTATTATTATTATTATTTTTAAAATAAAAGAAAGTGCTGAGTTAAGGGTCAGGCATTGGTTTCTGATTGGTTAAGGTTAACCCTGGTCTTCCGGGGATGCGAGCCTTTACTCTGAGTTGGGTTTCCTTTCTGTGTTATCTCCAGCAAATCTCAGGGTGCTTGAGCTGACTCAATCTAAATAAATTATCTTGCTAAGGCAGTTTACATCTCATTTATAGATTATTTCTTCTTTGAATCTTGAAGACTAATTTTTTTTTTTTTCAAATAGTGCAGAACTAGTTTAGAAATCTCAGGGAACTTGGTAAGATATGTAAAAAATAATCTTTGGTGAAATTTATTTGGTAAACATTGTTTTGGGGGCATACCTAAAAACTATGGTGTAGAAGAAGGTGAATATGATACTCTTCTGTTCTGATCATACATGGTTGTTTATATGATAGTATCTCTGGCTTTTTACAAAGGTATTGGGGTTTTATAATGAACTTGAGGTACTTATTGTCTGCAGAGATTAAGCAAGTCAGCTGCTTATGAGACGGACCCAAATTCAGTGGAGTTGTTTTGCTTTGCTCATAGACTTTTAGAGACTGAAACTTTCTTTTTTGTTTTTGTTTTTGTTTTTTGTTTTTCTTCCGGTACCAGGAATCAAACTCATGACCTTGCCCTTGCCAGGCAGGCGCTGTGCCGCTGAGCTAAATCCCCAGCCCCCCTTAGCTCATAGACTTTTCATTTTAATTTTCAGTTTTCTCCTGATATTTACAAATCAGAGATTTTCTATTAAAATTTAGATCCCTGGCTTGTCTTGGACATCAGCTCTGCAAATATCAGTGCTGCCTTCTTCCTGATGGGAACAGTCTAGAGCTAGTGGAGCTGCAGAGGCAGGTTGGGGGTCTCTTTGCAGGGCAAACATACCCCTCTCCCTGCTGCCTGCAGCCCTCCACGCACGATATTGTCATCTGACCCTTTAGCTGTCTGAGTTTTGTTTGGTGTTGTTCTAAGCCTGTCACCATCTGTCCCCGATCTGTACCTTCCTGAGTTTATTTCCCACTGCAAGCTTCCTTCTCCACGTTCTGCAGCCCTGTGACTGTGCGTGTTCCCCTTGGCTCTGCTGAATTTTTCATCATCTACACCGAGCGTGCTCGCCTGGTCACCTTACCTACTCTTTTCTGCGTGGAAGACCCCTGCTCTTCGAAAGGTCGCTTGCGTGTCATTGCATACTCTGGTTTTGCTTCCGTAGCATTCTGGGTGTGACCCTGCTGGAACACAGGTAGCCATGCAGTAGCAGTCCACTTCCTCCGCTCTGAGATGACCTTGTCCTAAGGCAGGCACTGTGGTCTTCAGATTACCCACCTCACACCTTGGTTTAAGGGATGAGCTTGACAAAGTGTTGAATGAAGGAGCATTTTGCATTTATTCAAATGTTTTTGAAACACTGCTCTTCACTTCGAACCAAAAGAAGCCAAAACTAAGATAAATGGACTGGAAGAAATAGCAGAGGTAAAAATGTAGAAAATGATATTTGGGGCTGGCTAGGCTTTACTTTGACCTGCTGTTTGACATACTGCTTCGGACTTACCTGCTGTCTGCAAGGCAGAAAGACCATTAGCACAGTTTTTTGTCCAGGTCATTCTATACTAATGGGGCCTGCTAAAGAGAGAGTCACAAAGCTTAGTTTCTTTATCTATAAAAGGTGAAATAATCACGTGTTGTTTGTGAAATGATCAGCACAGTAGGTTTTGCAGAGGAAGTCATCAATAAATGGTAGCCAATACTGCTATTAATCATATTTTCTCACCAGGTACGATGGCACACAGCTGTAGTCCCAGCACTCAGGAGGCTGAGGCAGGAGGATCACCAAGAGTTTAAGGGCAGCCTGGCTACATAGTGAGTTCAGAGCTGGCCTGCACTATAGAGCAAGAGTCTGTCTTAAAAAATAAATACAGGGGCTGGGGATTTAGCTCAGCGGCAAAAGCGCCTGCCTGGCAAGCGCAAGGTCGTGAGTTCGGTTCCTGGTACCAGAGAAAAACCAAAAACCGAAAAAAAATAAATAAATAAATAAATAATAAATACATAAATAAATAAATAGGACTAGACTGTCAAGCAAGTGTCATTAAGAAAGACTTGACTGGAACTCATACCCTCCTGGCCTTTTGACCATTTGGAGAACAGTAAGCAAAGGCACTAGGCAAAGTATTATTTAAAAACAAGACAGTTCAGATCCTCGCTTAACATTTCATGTGCAGAACATGCTTGGAGGCTCTTATTCCCAGGATGAATTCTATGCCTCTAAGAGGATTGGAAGATAAACCATCTGTCTCTGGACAGAAATATTTAGCTGCTAAGAGAAAAAAAAAAGATTCTAATACTTGGAGGATATGGACAAACAATGGTGATTACTCAGTGATCAAATTTAATAATAAAACCAGATAAGTCTATAGCAGATTTTTCAGTGAAATTTTTCCAAATATACTGTATGCTTCATTTTCTGTACTGCCATAGACATCGTTAGCGAATCACGAGGTTTTAGACTTCATGCATCAGAGGATTTATGACTGTACATTGACACTAGGAGCACAGTGTAATTGCCAGGCTGTCCTCTCTAAGCTTAAACTGTGACTTAGCCAGGTAACACAATTGCAGCCCAGGCTACAAGGAAAATAGGTCAATGGTTTGCCAAGAGGGAGAGGTTAATGGAGGGAGGCAGGGAGTGTATGCACACAACCACTTTTTTTGTTATAAACTGCATAAGTTGTATTTACTTTTAGGTCAGATTTCACTGCATGTTCCTATAAAGGCTGCCAAAGGCGTGGTGGTGCACACCTGTAATCTCAGCACTCGGGAGGCTGAGGCAGGAGGATTACGATGAGTTCAAGGCCCGCCTGGGCTACGTAGAGTACAAGTCCAGCCTGAACTACACAGCCAGCCCCTGTCTCAGAAAAAAT